CGTACGTGTATTATGTTGCCTTATTGATAAGCCGATCGCCTCGATATGTTTTATTAGCATAACACTTGTGGTGCGCCGCAGTTTTGAGTTCAAGTGCCTCTGGACAAGTTGGAGCTGCATTTCCTTTTTCTTGGACTCTTTTAGTTTGTTTTTCTTCTTATTCAAATGCCGTTATCTGGCCGGCGTATATAGATACAGTCGTACAGATACAGATACCAACCATTACCATTTGCTGTAACGATCGAGTGATTGATTATTTTTACAGTACAATAATAAATATTTGTCCAACGTTTGTGGCGTTGGCTGCTTAGCCTAATTAGATAAAAATGGAATGGAAAAATGCAACCTGCTCCTTCCTTTTCGTTCTTGGCGTAGCATTATCTCGACTGCGTTTTCCCCATTTACCATATTCGGTGCTCCTCAGACCGACCGACCGACCGAACTGAACTGATTAAGCCCGACCAGACCAGGCCAAGAAGACCAAGACGAGTTGGGACTTACTGAAGTATCTATATCTATGTCGACCCGTGTCGACAATTGCGTCGAAGCTGTTGTTTAAAAAGAAAAATGAGTTCAATTTGTTTGCTCTGGCCTGATAAGACACCCCCGGCAGGTGAGGTTGAGCTGAGGTGAGATAAAGTCAGCAAAGAACCTGTGTCATGCCCAGAACCTCCACTCATAACTCAGCACTTTGCATATCATCGTCGACGTGATCGACAATGGCACTTGCCCAAGTCTCGAAAAACTAATCAATTGAAGGGGTATCGATTTGGTGGGAAAGTCCACGACGCTGACAATTGGATGCTCTGAATTTGGGAATACCAATTAAAATTCTTAAGGCATGTAAGAAAGTAGGAGAGTTTTAAAAAATATTTTATCTCTTTAAAATGAATAGAAATTTTTCTATAGAAATTCTAAAATTAAATTATACACTATTCTAAATTTTTATTGAATCTTTAAGAATCATTGAATTTATTATTATTATTTTTTTTTTCAAAAATAGTCTAGTTTGTCATCTTTTTAAATAACAAAGTCAGATAACAGTTGATTGAAATCTTATCAAGCCGATAATTTTCATATATAATTTAAATATGAATCACTATTGTCGTAAAGACTGCACATAAGACTTGGCGACCGAAATCGACTCAGTGGATTGTTGATAAGAGTTATTGATTTCTTTGCGGTTGATAAGCCAATTTTGTCAAAAGGATCCTGCATCGCCTTCACCTCTCCGCTCCATTCTCACCATGCGGAAACGCGATACCAACGATCCAATAAAATATAATTTGCAAAATTAACAAATAAGTTGAAGGCTCGCGATTAGAGTTTATTAAATTCACCTGATTTCGTTTATTGCGCTCGCCACTTCAGCTCACTTCACTCCTCACTTAAATTCAATTCTATGAGCTAAGTGCCACGGTTCTAGGAACTCGTAATTCTTTCACCGGGGGTAAACAATAGAATCTCGAAATATGGGCTGATGTTTAGTCCGTGCAAAGTTCATTGGGGGCTTGTTTCGTTTAACACGTTTCACATTTCGCAATCTTGGAAATCGGTTCGTACCGGTTTCGGACTTTTCGTTTTCGATGTTTTGGGTTAGGTAAGGTCCGGTGCGATAGTACTTGCCTCAAGTGCCAATTGGTTTTAAGGGTGAACGATTTGACGGGGCTGAGGGCTATACAGTCGATATTTTAAAATAGGAACATTAATGTTTTATTTGTTTTCATATATTTTAATGATTTTGTATTAATAAGAATATAGGTAACATTGATGTAGTCACAATATTTTTCTATGATAACAATGATGACCCTAATAATATTATTACGAGGGCATTTCTTAGATCATTTAATAAAGATTATCACAGTTCTATGAGATACATTTTTTTGGAGATACATTTTCTTATGGTTATGAGGAGACCGATTCAAAAAGTCTTATACGACGTTCATTGTATCTTATCCTTATCTAAAAGATTGAAAACAATGTGACAATATAAGCCAAATATCACAGTTCCAAGAATCATTTTCCCTTTTATGGATCTTGACTTAGCTCAACTTCTGTGCTTCCCCTTTATTGACCTTTTCCGCTTCCTCACTTAAGTGCTTCTTATATAAATCGATCAGTTAGTACCTCGTGGTCGCCATTAGATCGACGTCTGTTCTTGAGAACCCGCCTGCCACTAAACAATAACAATTGAGCATGACACAAGAACAAAACCAAAGTAATAATAAATAAAATTTGTCACAAGTTGAAAAAGCAGGAACAATGAATGGCATTCATTAGTCAATTACAGTAAGACCTGGCTAGTTAACAAACACAGACGGTTATCAAGATAGGGCCCGGTGATACCGCGAAATGGAAATGAGTCAAAGGCAAGTGCCAAAAGGGGAAGCGATGATGTCTAGATAGAAAGACAAATAATTTGTTTAGAATTACGAATTTGGGGCTCCGACGACAAGGCAATCAGTAAAGTGTTGCTAATTAATATTGAGCTGCATGTGGGTTAATTTGTCTTAGTTGGTAAGTCACAAATTGTTTCATTTAGTATTTAATATTATGAAGTCTATTTCTTGTTTTTGTGGAGCAGAGCTAAGTCGACTTGAGCCGCAGGAAATCTCCCTTTGGCACTTAACGAATGGCGCCCCATTATTCATAAATATGAAAAATTCAGACCCCCTTCGATATTATGAGGGGTGACAGAAATCGATGGGAGACCTCTTCTATTTGGTTATGCATTAAATGTAATTAATTTTGTAAATTCCCTTAATATTTATGGACTTGCAACTAAACTTCTATTAGCATTTTAAGTCCACAAGTTAAAAATATACTTCTATTAATTGTCAATTTTTTATATGAATTTATCTACATATTTCTGACTACCTTAAGCCTTCCGCTGAAATTGATTAGCTGGGAAAGCGAAAATAGGTATTCGCATGAAATATTTTAGACTCACCCGTAATGAGTGCCAAGGCATTGTCACACTTGACTAAAGGTCATATTCATATCATATCCATATGTCGGGGCAGACCTGTTCCACGCAGCCTATCAATATTTACATAAAACTATGGATCGTGTGTTACCAAAATATGGGCTTTGCGAAACTAGAATTAATGTAAATTTGAACTAAGTAGTTTCTATATTTTTTTCGTATTAAATATTTATGATATTTAAAAAAAACACAAAGCTCTGCTGTTATAGTTAAAATATACAAAGGTACTTTCCTATATTGAATAGATTTTTATTATATTAATCTCCTGAAGGAAAAAAATATATCACTTAAAAATAATCAAGTTTTGGTTATTTGTACCCTTCAACTTATACATTAATAATTTCACAATAATTTCCCTCTATAATGCCTTCTAAATGCTATAATATTTAAAAAAATTATATTTAATTATATGACGGCATATAAACCTAAATAACATCTCTTTGACTAAGGTTTCCCCTGATTAAACTGTAAACCGTCTGGACGAACAGTTTGTTCCCATTTAGCACCAAAATAAGTTTCGTAATACGCTTATAGGGTTAAATGTTGGTAAATATTTAACAATGGGTAGCATTCCGCTGCACTCGGATCTAGATCGGGATCGTGATCGGGAACTGAAATAACTCTTTCTACTTCAATAAAAGAACATGACTTGGGCTTAACAAAGTGTTCTCTTCTGTCCGCACATTTAAATGGCATTAGCAATTATGCGTGTTTAAGCCCTATACATGAATGGAAATTTGTTTCTGTCGGTGTTTATTGTCTGATTATTATTTTATTTTTATACGATTGCCCCCGCCCCCTAACTTGGCTACTGTTCCGTCTATTCAACTCTGTCTGCTTCTGCGTTTGTGGCTTAAATGGTCAAAAACATCAGGTAGATGACTTGTAATTACGATGCCGAGATCGGAGTCTGTGCGAGTATCTATTTTGAAGTTGGGGAGTTTAATGCGCCGAAAGCGCTGGGGAGCTTGTAAATATCAATAGTTGCACTGAGAACAAATTTATTTATGGTTAAATATATTCTTAAAATCCGCTATTTTTAGTTTGACCTGGACTTTGAAAATAAAAAATATAAATATTTAAAAGTTAATTTCATTTTGAGCCCTTTGTTCACTATTTATTTAAATTTTTTAAATATTATTCCCATTCTTGGCAAGAGGATTTTAGAAAGAGACTTAGAATTAATATAGAGAAAATACATTTAATGATATTTGTGGTCAAAAATTGTTATAAATGTAATTCTATATAATATAAACTTATATAATAGTAAAAATTACGGAGTCCTAAAGTAATTTGTATTAGAACATCCATTTTGATACCTATATCATTTACCTGTAATACTTAAGAATTGATAGCATATTGTCTAGTAGTGTAGGGTTTATAACTATTTTCTTCGGCTGGCGATTATGAATATTCAGTTCGATTGCCCGCTACCGTTGACAGACTTGGGTCACCTTCATCCCCCCATCTGCAGTTGGCTGATAAGCTAAACAAAAGTAAGAATGAATTGGCATTTTTGGATTTTAATTTTCGGCCACGTCATCTTATTGCTGTTGTCGCCGAGTGAAATTTCAAGGCAATGAGCAGATTTAACCAAAATAACATAAACCGAAATTGAACTAATTAAAATGACAAAAAAGAAGCGAGGAAAAGAAGAAGCTCGACTGGGGCTTTCAACCTGCAGATAAACAGGTTCACATGTCCATCATACTTTGCGTGCGGAGTGATGAGTTTGCATAAATACAAGTGAATTTTCTTTCCAGCTCGTCTTCTAAGCTGAAAATGCGATTTGAGCTCTTTGAATTTCTAATTGTTGCGGCTTTTGGCTTGCCCAGAATTTCCTTTGGCTCGAAAATATTTCTTTAAAAAATATATTTATTACCATGACAATTGCTTTGATATAATTTATGGCACTCCCATGCTCGCTCGCCCCCACGACACACCCTTTATGGCTAATTAATCTTCTTTGGCTAATTACAGACCAGCCCATGTCCACTTGACCAACTTGCGGCTATCGGCTCTAATCAAGGTTCCCGAGGTGTTTTTCGAGAACTCGGACTCAACTGCTATCTGCGCCCGGGAGTGATTACCTATGTGCTCTATGCTGTTGCTGCTGTTGGCACATATAGCCGTAAACACTGATTATGCCATTGTTGCTAGCAAACTATTATCAGCAGCAACTTCAGCAACGGCAGCAGCAGCAGCAGCGTGTTGCTAGCAACAACGGCATGTTACTTGAATACAAAAGCCATTGCAATACAAATCGGGATAGCAACAATTGCAGCAGCAACAGCCGCAGCAGCAACAACAACAGCAACAACCAGCGACAGCTGTCCGCAGCGGAAGCACTAACAATGTCAACGCCGACAACAACATCGAAATATAAAATCAATGGCGAGGCCACCGAAAGCGTTGCAGCATCCACACTGCTCTATCATCATCCGCATCATCATCCGACGCAGCAGCAGCAGCAACATCATCATCATCAGCAGCAGCAGTTGCTGCTGCAACAGCAGCTCCTGCAGCAACATGTGGCCAGCAGTTCGCCGCTGCAACATCTGAGCAATCTGTTTGGCCAGCATTTGCCTACGCACAGTCTGCAGCATTTGATTGCCGCCGAGTACTGGCAGCAACAGCAGCAGCAACAACAACAGCCGGCAGCAACAATTAAAAGCGAGCCAACAACTCAATCAGTGGCAGCAACATCGGTCTTTAGCTTCACGCCGCAGCAACACGTCAATTTTGCCGCCTCATTAGTCGCATTACAGCAAAATGATGCCCTGCCCGAGGCAACAATGGCAACAGCAACACCGACACCAGCGACAACTGCATCAGCAACTGCAGCAGCAGCAGCAACAACAACAATGTGCCCTGCAGCAGCGACAACATCAGCAACATTGCAGGCGCCAACAGCAACAATTGACGACATCGATGATGATGATGATGACGACAGCAACATCGGCAACCACATGCAAAATTCTGGCGGTAAGTTTGATGTTTTATGATTATTTTGGCAGCTGCAGTAAGAAACGAGGGGAGGCTAAAAAGTTTACTAAGATATATGGCAATTTTTTTCTTTAGTTATGAATCATAAAATACATGTATTTTTCTCGTGTGTTTTATTTAAATAAAATACTTCACATTTTTTTTATTACTGTGCGTTAGAAATTTGTATGTAGCTACTATACATATGTATTGCTTTCCGAACCCTGGTTATGATAAACGCAATACATTTATTTTTTAGTTTTTTAATAGTTTTTATATTATAATAATTATTATAATTAAATCAACCAGTCAGATTGATTTTAGAATTAAGAAAACCATAATTCATCTTTTGTTATTGTCAACTTCGTTGTATTTAAATACCCCCTTTCTTATAACGTGACTTTTCGTTCTATACTTCCCTTTTCCCTATTGATTTTCAACTGCTTCTGAGGCGCATCCTTCGAAAACCCCTCGCTGTTTTTTGATAATGCAAGCTCATTTCCATTTCCTGTCCCGATCACGCTTCGTTTTAAGTCTGATTCGTTTTTTGATTCACCTCTCAGCTCCGTTTTGGCAACGTGTGTGTCTTTTGATTTATTATGCGGCCTTTATTTCATTCATAAAATGAAATGATTATGCTGTATGCCATGGCTGCTCGCTCACACTTTCGTGTCATCTGGCTTTGCCTGGACTCATTTTCATATCATTAGCCTCATCAGCAGACACGTTAGCTGCACTGCACATCCGCACCCGCCTCCGCAGCAGTCCGTCGAATCCCGAGGAACTGGAGAACCGGAGTCCCGGCCTCTTAAACATCATCATCAGGCGCAACATTAACATCATCGCAGCGCCCTCTCATCAGCCAATCGTCGACTTCTGTTTCCCTTTTTTTCCCTCAGTTTTTTGTGTCTTTCAGTTTGCTTTTCACAAAATCGTCTGTTGTCTGCACGCAATATTCGTAGATATAAGAATATTTTTGTTGGTTTAGGCCATCGCCACTTGACGTGTTGGTTGGTAGGAAACCGGAATGAATAAATATTCCGTGGTCAAGTTTTGAATATCTGCTCGCCTGATAAATGTCTCGGTCTGCGGAAATTTACATGGCCCCACTGCTCAGGAAACGAAATCGCATGTCGAGCAATTAAATTATGCTTTTTGTTGGAATTATGTAAATCGGCATAAAGCCTTTAGGGTAATATGCTCTAATTAATTAAGAAATGAGACTGGGAATACCTTTATTATGGAATTTTGATTTGCGTAATATATTCGGATTTTTACTCCATAATGAAAATAATTTAAATATTAACATAAGAAATACAAATGAAAAATATAGCTTTTTAATTTTTTAAATAAAATTTGTTGCAGAAAGAATTAAAAATTGGTAAATATATATATTCCTTGACCTATAGATCAGCGGTCGGCACACACATACGTTGACATTTTCTTTTATATTTGTGTGAGTAATTTGCACTGGGCAGCTCATCGATGTGTGTGTGCAGACCGCTGTTCTACGTTATACATGTGCGAGCAGCGCGGCGGCAGAACAAAACCCTATGCTCACTTAATAGGGCGCTGCCGACCGCTGCTATAGATACATTAATATCCCCTAACCGTAAGAGCATTCCTCTCCTTCCTGCTTCTATTGAATATGAATATCATTAATAACCAACCATAAAAGTGTTATAATCACGTCAGAGGTGTCAAAAGCGAATACCCCTCGCCGCTTCTGGGCCAACCCACCGCCAAGACATCTAACAAATTGCCAGCCTCTGTAAGCACGTGGATAATTGATGAGCGGGGCCACAGTCAAGCCTCTGTCGAAAGACCGTTCCTGTACCTGTGCCACCATCTCGGTCACACCTCCTCCCCGTTTGGCGTTTTAGCATAATTTCAAGTGCCCTCGAAGTGATCTCAAAGTGCTTTGTGTCTATCCCATAATTATGCCATTTGTACAACAGTTTTGAGACTTTGCCTTTGCCTTTGCGGAGACGGGACGGCAACATCAAACTAATTTGAATATAATTTCATAGAAAATTAACCACTTCGTTCTCCGCTCTCTCGGTTATTTATTGCTTAATCCTTGTGGTTTGTGCTTTGGAGAACTCGTGCCCCGGTTTGTCTTTTATGCAAATTCTTTTTTAATAACCCCATCGGCCGGGAATTCTTCGCCAGCATCTTTTGTTCGCTCCACCTTGATTGCAGTCTGTCAGATATCGCTATTGTCCGGATCCCTCGGAGGCCTCTGACTTTGACGCCTTTTTTCGGTTTCATTCAGCGCTTTTGATGGCTTTTGATTATTATTGAAAGTGATAAATGAAGATGAGTTGTTGTCCGGGGCGAGTGCAGTAGCAATTTGAACTCATCAGGCTGCAGCCAGTTGACTGATAGCTCTGATTGCTACCTGAAAAGCTCACAAAAGAGGTGGCAGCTGTAAGTCATGTATCGCTAAAAAGCTGAAGGTATTTAAAATAACTCACTTTTGAACTGATTTTTAACCATTTTTGCATATTTTTAAATCGATGTTACAAAACAATAAAATAAATTTTCTTTTAATCATTGAAAAAAACATTTAAATATCTTTTGTCAATATTATTCCTTCAATATTATATTTAGTAATTGAACAAATATTAACAAAATGTATCATTGAAAATTACCACACAGAGAAAAAAAATACCAAAAATAATCATCCATCGGGTATTTTTTCATATCAATTTCGGCCTATCTGTTTTCATATCAAAATGATATTTTCGAACATATGATTTTGTACCATATTGATATGAAATCATACCATTTCGTTATGACAAAAATTGATATGAAACAATATCAGTTCCATATTGTTCCGTTTTTTTCTCTGTGCAATAAATTTTTTTGCGACTTTAAATGGTAATATTATCAATATTATAATAGGAAATCAAATAAATCCACTACACTAATTAGAGCTTAGGCAACTGAACTGCAAAAGCTAGTTCTTTAGTTAAACGAAACCATTAAGATTGATAATTTCCTTGCATAAATTTAAACTTGTACTATCAATATCGCCATAAGCTATAAGCGATCACCCTGTGAACTGAACTGATGATTTATTAATTATATTAAAATAGACCCGGCGACCGCCTATCAGAATCATCAATCAAATATAATTTATTGCGGAGATTCCGCATTCAGAAAGCTTTTCCTGAGCGTAGTAGACAATTTCGATGGGCTGGGGCTTGGGCATTAAAGTTCAATTCGTTATCCCATTAGGCCATTAGGCTGCGGAACTATTACCGGCTAAATGCCCAGTTAGGCATTTGGAGTTGCAAATTGCTGGGAGAAACGTTCTGCGGCTCCTTGGCCAGATCATTGCCATATAACCAAATCCCTGGCCAGGGCGATCATCAGCCATTTGGCCAAGTACAGCAGCCATTAGGCCCGATTCGACCGATCCCGGCTCCCTCCTAACTACTTAACTTGAGTGCGGGACCGAAACCGAAACAGAAACCGAAACCGCGAGAGCTGACAACTGTCAGAATTTAATGGCGGCTTCAATTTTTATAACCAAAGCACGACTACCGTCAAAACTGAGAAGGGAGGGCAGGCACATCCACATCCACAGCCATAGCCATATCCATCCAGGCCGAGTTCGGGTTTTGAGTTTGAGTTCGTTCGAGCCAAGTTAAAACAGATTACGCCAGCCAATCTGACGAGGGCTGACTACGCGGCCGCTGCAAATAAGAAATGCAAACGAGTTCGAGGCCCGAATGCAGATTTCAGAGGCACGATATCGGTTCAGAGGGGAGTTACTACGTACTATACTATAGCCCATGCCTATACGAAGTACGTAGCGCTCTCGCGGTGAGTTGTATGTGTGCAGCATGCAATATCAGTTCCCACAGTCGCCGCGGCGGTTGCTCTTTGGCAACGCCTTCGAAAACTGATGACGTTGTAAGGCAGCCGCAGAGTTGAAGCCGCCGCAGCCTCCTCCGGCCCTCCCCCTTCCGCCGGCGAACTCCTACTCCTTTGGCTGATGACTCGGAGACCTCGACATGCATATGAGCTTGATGGGTTCGAGATGGGTGCGTGAGTCACGAAATAAATTTATAAGCTTATTAAATTTAACTATTTATTTTTTAATTTAACTAATTTTATAAAATGTAGCTTTAAAATCATTAAGGACGATTGTTTTAGTGGGACCAAGTCATGTATAAATGGTAATTCAAGTGGGCCCAAATAGCATGTGAAGCACAGTATGACCATGCATTCTGTAAAGGAACTAATATTTTGTTTTTTATCAGTGAGTGTTTAAAAAAAGTGGGCTAAGCATATTCACAGTGTAAGGACAAATATATCTAATATATGATTGGTTTGTTCTTTGGAGAGCACCTAATAGAGATCACTAAATAGTAAATTACAATTTAAAGTGTTAAGCCTCCATTCAGATTTCCATTACCCCATCACAATTTCCTTAATTTCAATAAATTGACTTTTGAACCTGCTTAAGCCTGGACCAACTGCAATATGCTTCAGTCACGCTCACATCGCAAAGCTCCGGCTTTTGGACCACAACCATAACCATCACCATCATCATCCACGCTCGTCTTCGTCGTCGTCGCTTATCTGGCAAAATTTGATCAACGTTTTCGCAATTCGGGAGCTCCGCCCCGAAGGTATTTCCATAAATATTCCTTGGCCCCAGCTTCAGTATTTTGCTGGCTGCTTTGCTTCATTTTGGACTGTTCAGGCCTTGCTTTTTACTTTTATTAGTTGGCCAGTTGTCTGTGCTGTTTTGGTTTTGGCTGTTGTTGCTGCTGCTGCTACAAATAAATTAAAATTATGCATGCTTAGGCATAGGGCCCTGGGAATTTGTTTGGTGGGAAAGCCTCTTTTGTCTTTGGCTTAACTTCGATTTTTGTTTTTGCGTTTTTTTGGGCTGCGTCTTTTTGGGCTGAACTTAAACAAATATGTTTCGATGGGTGCAGATAATAATTTTTTGAACTTAAATTTATGTGTGTGGGAGCCGA